AGAAACTCTAAATAAATATGAAACATTGATTTGGTAAGGTCTGGAGCCAAATTTATTCCCTCAAAACGTGATACTAGTGCCATAGCCTACTGAAAAGGTCGTATAAATAAAAGATTGCGTAATAATACCTGCAGATCTTCTATCATAAAATTTACTCAATTGGCAAATGATCCACAAAGGAGAAAATTAGAATAAGATTTAATAACAAAACAAACTAGCCGTTTGGAATTTAGGATAAAAATAAACATGTTTTTATATATAAAGCCTTTGGTTGTGAAGTTGTTAAAAAATCCTATATGAACCGTTAGATTCTAGGATTTGTTTAGTTTATCATCCATTTTCACGTTATTCTGTCAGGCGAAATTGTACCTAGCTCAAACCAAAACACTTAAAATATGGCATACAAATAGACTTAATGGCAAATTATTTGGTGGCAGACACTTTTATATTTTCCCGGTAAAATACTTTTAGCTTGAAACCCATATACAATAAAGAAATCAAAATTTAATTTTACCGAGGTTTACTCATCAAATATTCACGGTTATTTTTAATGATTTGCTAATGAATTAGTTTAACTTTTATAATATGAGTCTAGACAACCTACTTATTGGTGGAAATTTTATGTTGACGTGGCATAAGAAATGGACTGTCTTTTTTGAAAGTTATTTATAAGTGCAAATTCTCAAATTCCTTCTCATATTGACGGTTCAATTTTAACATGACAGAAAAATTCATCCTTTTGTCGCAACTAGTCAGTTTTGTAGAATAATTCTTGAGTAAGCTTGCTTTACTATATCTTAGGGGAATTAGTACCGGCCTTAATCTCATCACGTCTGGCCTATGCAGAATATGATCAGGCTCAGCAATATTTCGGTTTTATAGCTTTTCCCTCAACCATTCCTGAACACTTTTAAATCGCTCCGAAGATTTATTGCTGTGTAAGCGTTGCTTCTTCAAAAATCTACCAATGCGCAGTATAGTCTTGATTTTAAAGACTATTCTTTTCTATGTATCTCTCACCATTGACTCTCACAGAAAGAGCTAACATAACAAGTGATGATTCATCCATGACTTCGATATGCATAGAGAACAGCGAAAGCTAAATCCTCACTAAATTCTCTCTTCATAGTGCCTTATGATATATGGTAAAGACTTTCTGAATAACATGATAATTTATATTAGAAAGCATACGATTGGTTAAGGTTATTTTACATGTATTTTGTTTATAAGTAGGCTTTCGAAACTATCGGAAGATAAGATATTTGAGATTTGTTCATCTTATTCAGTTTCAGGTGATTAAGAACTTGCAGTTGAATTTTCATACAAGGATATGTCTAGGCCTTACGTCCCCATCTAATTTCACATAGTCTTGCTTCCAACAAGATATCATCATCTCGGATGGGTTGGTCTGCCGTTTTTTCTTCGACTGAACTGATATCGTCAGCAGCCCCAGTGGGAATCGAACCATGACACATTAACCACTGCAAAAGTGCTCTAGGCTCATCGGACGGATATGAATTTCACCGAGGGCCCGGCATTTTCGCATATGTGATGAGATTGTTATGGAAGCAAAGTTATAGTCACTACATCAATCGACTACTGGTAGTCGCAAAAATCAACTTATATACGAAAAATATTTCATGTGATTGATTGCTTTAGCAAATATGACTTTGCTTCATCCACAATCCCATCACTCAATGTGACGTTCCTTGAAATTCACACCTGCCCTGTGGCCCTAAGACGTGTATCTGGGGGACAAGATTATATGTACCTCAATGGAAACGTGAGGTCTACCCATATGGTTGTGGGAGAATTCATCTACCAGTCTTTCATCACCTCAACCGAATAGGGTGGACGCATGTCATTTTATATGGCTTAGTATTCGTATGAACTGGATGCATTTACGCAATGCCTGTAAAGTGGTTAGTATGTTGTTGCTTCTTGAAAATAGCTCTGTTGCAATATAATAAGGGATAATTTAAGCTCTAATTTTCTGAAAATCGGTGTTTATCATAATTAATTAGTATTTATTTAATTACTTTTATGTTTGTATATGATAATTAAAATAACAGAGAAGCAATGATGCGTGAAATCTGAATAGATTCTATGCAAAGTCGTCAACTGGAACTAACCTGATGATCGTCGGAAATTCCCTTTAGCATCATGTGGCGACCAGCGCTGGTTGGCAGTATTCAAGGCCATGTCAGCATTTCCTGGTCGAATGCATTCAATTAAGAATGACTCTAGATCCGGACCAACCGACCTCGTCCTCACAACAGGTCGGTGTCGCAAGGCAGCTGTATCACCATGCAAGTGAACCAGATTGGCTTGTATTCCTTCCGTATCTACGACTGTATCCTCGTCTTCATCTCCATACTCCTCGTCCTCTTCTTCCTCGTCTTCCTCGCCATCCACTTCGTCTTCTTCTGCATCACCCTCATCTTCATCATCCCCATCCTCTTCTTCTCCGTGACGAACAGTCACAAACTCTTGCTTATCCTGACTCCACTGTTTGCCTCTACGATCTCTCCTTCGTGTCCGCTTGCAGGCCGTCTGTAGCTGTTTCTGCGGCTGTCGGTGACTCGGCCCAATCACTGTGGCGACAGCCACACCACCCGGTGCCTTCGCAGACGAGCAGCCTCGTGCGCCGGGCACTGATGCTGCAGCCGCCCACACAGCCGCCAGCTCTTCAGCGGCATCTTCAGCTGTACCACCGTCCAAACTGCTGTCAACAGCGACCCCACTGCTCAGAGAAGACAGACGTCCTGCAGGGGCTCCACCGGCCATGGCAGCAAGTCCTATGCAAGCTGGACAAAATGCACATCGGTTCACCTGGTTGGCATGGTCGTCCAATGCACTGCCAGAGGCGTCGGCTTCATCTCCATTTTCAGCTCCGTCTTCCTCTTCTTCGTCGTCGTCATCTTCACCTTCTTCACCGTTTTCCTCGTCCGGTTCGGTTCCGCTGTTGACAACCGTCTCCTGCCTCTTTCCTCGTCGTCCGGCCGACCAGGCCTTCTGCAGACTTCGGCCGCCAACGGGATAACAATTACTCAAAGCACAGCCTGTCAAGTTGCCAACCGGGGCGTTGGCAACAGTTGGCTCCATCTTTCCAGCATGGCAACAATGTAGCCTAGCGGCCGCATGACAGTTTGGAGGGCCTCCTGTACCGGGACAAAGTCGTTTGATGGCAGCTGCCTGGCCGGTATGGCAGCCTGAGTCGCCGGGTGGGAATTGGCCGGGCATGAGGAGGAGGCGAGGACCGATGGCGCAACAGGAGGGCAATGTCAACAGGGATCGCGGATCACCGATTGGCGGAATGACAGATCTTGATCCAGTGACATAGGACGAGGGTAGAATGCGGCCGCAGCAATCTGAGATAAGTTGAGTTAGAAAAGAAAGTTCAACAACGCGGATCATGTTAATTATTGCGTCAGGTTTGATGGCGGATTGTCAAATTGACATGTTTCCAAAATGAAGGCGCTCATAAGCATATGAAAATGAGCAAGGTAAGCTACTTTGGTGATCCGAGGTTGATGATTATTAAGAATGAAATAAAGGAATTGCTTCAAACTGTTTATAATATCCTCTTAAAAGCTCTTCTGATAGGCACATTCACACCATTTCAGTGAAGCTGACTGGTAGCTGAAGTGGCCACAATCATATTTGCTGACCTTATGTTTGCATAAAATTTCACTCGGCCTCGCCATTACAAAAGCTATCCTCATCACGAATGAGGTGGATTGCAGCTTCGACCCCGCTTGCGAGATATAGCCTCGAGATGTTAGCAAGTATCCTTGGTTCGTCGTATAACTCACATATATGGGCTACTTACAAACAAAAAATAAGTAGTGCAGTCGATGGCTACTGCAAATATAACTTTGCTTCAAGACAATCACACCACAGCATGTGATATGGTAAAATGTCTCGTCTTTTTTGAAATTCACATCTGTTCTGCAACCAAAGGTTAATCGTGGAGATGCGGCGTAGTGATTAACGTGCCGAGATTGCATGCTGTACTGTCATGGTTCGAGTCCTGTTGGAGCTGTTGTTAAGAGATAGACCAGGTTAAAACCACATTCCACATCAGTTTGTAAAAATCATATGATCTAATTTTAGTCTCGAAAACCTACATATAAAAAAAGCAAAGTATACGTGTCTTTCGAGGCGAGCTAGACCATTTTGAAGATAAAATGTTAAGGCGATGATAAATCGCTGTAGAATTCTGAGCTTTCCGGTTTCATTCTGAGACTAAATAAGATGTTAATGTGTGAAAAATGCATTGCTAGAGGTTGAAAAAATTTGGGCGACCAGAGATTACTAATCACCGAATCCGTTTTTAATCAAAATGTAGAATCCACTTCTACTGCAGCCGTTTGGATTTAACACGAATTTCAGTTTGGCACACTACACGAGACATCCTCTCTCGCTTTTGTGAAAAATGGGCTGAGATTTCGTCCATCATTCGAAAGACATCATCAGAACTGGAACTCATTCTTGTATAAATCTCACGTTAGCAAAATCAGGCTCTATCTTAGCTCTTATATAAACTCAATTAAGTAAAAGAAAATCAAGAGGCCTAGATGGATATAGAATGCTGTTGCTAATCATCTTTCGTATTGGTCAAGCTGCTTCGCTTGAGTGTGTGTGTGTGTGTGTTTCTGTCTGTCTCAATGTTTGTTGGTAAAATCGGTCCTAAATCAGAGTAATCACAAAAAGCTAATGCCAGGCTCTGGTCATCGAGACTTAATGACCCAAGAAGACTTCTAAACGAGACTGCGTAAGTGCGTAATCAAGTATGCTTGAGATAATTAGATGTAAGCTTGCAAGAGTACAGGGTCTCTTATCTTCCTTTTCACAATAGACAAACCATATGCAGCAAGCTTTTCAGTCTGAGAATATTTTATCTCAGCCACTTCTGACCGTTGAACTCAGCTTCCGTTATGGTCATCTTTCTGTAACCCCAGTCTTTGTCGAATGGAGCTGCATGTTTCACCAACATGAGGACGACCACATGAGCACACAATATTGTAACAGCCGAATCTCGATAATGGGTTTAAGTGTATCTCTAAAGGATGGAGCAACGGAAGAAAGTTTGTAGCTATCTTTGAACACTGTTTTTATCTTTCACTTTTTTGCAAGTTCGTCTTTTTTTTTGACAGAATGCCTGACGGCAAAATCAAAACACGAAAAGATGTCCCGGCTTTTCTATCTTTGACTAAATAATCTCAGTGTGAAAATTTATTCCTCAGTACAGTGTTATCATTCTCAATTAGGCCCAAATAATAATTATTTTCCAGCAATACAGCTGTCAGCAGTTCCAAATCTTTGGCCAAATGGTTGCAATCCGCTAGCCGCATACTTCTAATAATCCTCTACTTCAAAATCCCAATCTCAGTCTTGTAACTATGGTTGGAAAGAAAATTAAGAAGAGTCAACATATGATGGCTTCCTACAATCATCTTCTTCCCGTGTATATAACCAACAATTTGGGCGTTAGCATTGTCTCTTCTAGGAAGTGTTCCTCAAATCTTGACATATATTTGTGCAGCAAGATGGGAGCAAAGCCAGATCCCATCTCCAGTTGTAGTGTTTGTTCGTATTACTTAGCCTATAAT